GTTATGCACAAACAATGAATCATGGAACACTACATCTAGAACTAATGATGTAATGTATGGGGATTAACATAACAATAAAAAAGTTTAAAAAAAAGAAAATTTCCTTTTTTGAAAGACAAGTTATTCTGATTCTATGATTCACAGTATTGTGTGTACATGTGTTTATAGCACACATTTAAAAATGAGATTTTTTTTGTTTTAAAGAAAAGCAAACTGCCACATGCAGCACCTCATTTGGATGTGTCTGGAGTTTTGGAAGTTTAACTACCCTACATTCTCCTACAAATGGACCTTGAGAGCTTGTTTGGAGGTTCTAGAGGGGAGCACAACTATTCCCATACCCTGCAGCAAAGAATGGTCCTCCTCTATTAGGGAAGGTCCTCCTTTTTGACCTAGTGTGCAGCTTCCAGTGGGTTGCACATGGAGTGGTGAGGAAGGAACAGGACACCTGCCTAGCCAGACAGATCAGCTGAATCAGTCCTGGTGATCAGTGGGGTGACAGATGTCACAGCCAGATCACCCTCACATCTGAAAATGAGGATTTCTGAGCACATGTTTCAAATAAAAGATTCTAACTAAAGCTATACAAGACCACAATAATTGCAAATAACTAATCTAATACTGAATGTCACTCACAATCTATAAAATATCCACTTTTGTACTATTTAAATTGTTGCATGTCAGCCCTTTATCTCTAACTAACTACAATTCTTTCCTTATCATACATTCTCTTACATATTTATCCATTAAACAAATATTTGTTGAGTACCTACTTGAAGCAGCACTCTGCTAAGCATGGAGTTTAAATTATTAACAACTATAGCAAAAAACAGAAATAGCCTTACCTTCATGTAGGGCTTGTGTTACATGTTCCAGGAAATACAAGATTGTTGGTTCAAATTTGATATCTCAATTTGCCCCTTTTAATTTGCTGCAAAGTTTTTTCCACTCAATATCAGATGATTCACTCACCTCAGGGTCCCTTTTGACAAGACTTGAAGTGTGCATCCTCACTTGTTACAATCATTTATATTATCTATTGATCAAAATTTGAGAGTGTCCTCATAAACGATTGAAGATTAAGATTTGAAAACCACTATTCTAACTAGATGGAGATACCAGACTCCCTTTAACATACTAGAACATCCTAGGTAATGTAGGAATAGGGGCAGAAGGGTCATTTTAGATTTTATTTTTTACATTAAATGCTGAATTCCATAACTTTGTATTATTAACAATTATTACATGATTGCCAATCAGAATGTCTGATCAGTATGAAATAGTGGTATTACCTTACTGGATCAATATATTACATGCAAAAACATTCATATTGCTTTACATAAAATATATTAACACAGAATGCAACCTATCTCAGTTTTTGAAATGTGGAATATGGCTCTGGATCACTTGATTACTACCCTCCTAGATCTTTAACAGTCCGTGTCTTCCCAGGTGAACTATCTTATCTATCCCTATTACAGATTGAGACACCAAGGAAAATTTAGTTAGCTTATTCAGGGCCATATGATTAGTGACAAAGTCAACATCTGAACACTGGTTTCCTGAATTCCAATTTAGTATGTATTTATTCCCAAGCATATCCCTTCAAAACACTTCCACCCTTACCACCAGGACCATCAGGGGACCAGTGCAAAATGAAAATGCAACATAGTCATAAATTTTGGCTCAAAATAAATGGCCAATTTAGTCCTATTACTATTAGGTTGCAGTTTTTTGATCATTTCAATCTTAGCTTTTCAGTGGCTACAGACATTAATAATGCTTCCTTAGTGAAAGAAAATACCTGAGATAGCCAACATTTCCTCATATAATAAAAAATTATAGCTTTTATTTGCTCATTCGATAAAAATGTCAGTGTCATCTATTTGCCAGGCACTATTTTAGGCACTGGAGATACATCAGTAAATAAAACAAACAAAAATTCCTGCCCCCATGGGCTTTATATTCTAGTGGTGGATGATAAACAATAAACAAATAAGTTATATAGAATGTAATAAGTGCTACAGAAAAAAATAAAAGAGAGTGGCAGGGAGGGCCAGATAGGGGAGAAAATGGTAGGGGGGCTTCAGATTCAATTGATGGTGTGATCTCCTGCTAATCTGTGTGTGAATGTTGTTAAAGACTAAAATTGGTGACTGAAAAAAAAAGAAAATATTTTTTCTTCTTCAAAGCTCAAGGTCATTCTTGGAAAGAAGTCCAGAATCCAAGCCAAATCTCATTGTAGATGTGCATATGCTTTCATTCTTCCCTGCTGTATATCTCATTTAAAAAAAAATCTGGGAATAATCTGAGGTAGGAAAAAAAAAAAGGAAACCCATGTGGACAAAAGAGAAAGAGAGGAGACAACCAGCCTCAGCCCTGCCTCAGTATTGCCTTTGTTGGGGGTTGTACAGGTCATGTACTGTACTTGGGCCCCAGATCTTTCCTAGTGCTTACAACAAGGCTCTTCTCTGGTTCTTCTTGCCACTAATTTTCTTCCTTATGATTAAAACTTCAAATCAATAGTAATATGTACAAATAAAAATCAAAACTCTAATCACACTCTTCACATAAGTTAACATAAGCCATTTATACTTTATAGCTTTATATCCTCATAGATATTAGTTAATTTTCCTTAAGTGACTCTTGGAAATTTTTACAGTAATTTTTAATCCATTGAAGCTGTATTTATATGTCAATTTGACTATTTTAATTAATTTAACAGGTAAGTTAAAAAAAAGCAGTCATTAATCAAGATTTTTTTTGTTAATTGGCTTGTCTCCTCAACAGGCTTTTTTTTTAAAGATTTATTTAGAGAGAGAATGAAAGAGAGAGAGCACAAAAGTAAGGGGAGGGCAGAGGAAGAGAATCTTCAATCAGACTCCCACTGAGTGCAGAGCCTGATAGGGGCTCGATCACATGACCCATGAGATCATCAACCCAGCCAAAACCAAGAGTTGGGAGTCCTACAGACTGAGCCACCAAGGCACCCTCTTCAACAGTCTTTCAAAAGTAATGCTTATTTTCTTATCAGCCCCAATAATCCAAGAATATAAATGTCCCATATATTATTTCTATTTGTACTTGCAATGCTTTACATATATTTTCATTATTGCATTTTTGCTTATCAATATATACATATTTTGTAGGAAGCTTTAAGTGTAAAACTTGATATGCAGAAAATAAAATTATCCATATCCCACTTTCAGCGTTTTGATATGTTTAACTGTCTTTCTTTTCACAATAAATACATTTGATTTATATAGTAGATATCAAACTGTATGTATAGTTCTATGTTCCTGTTTATTTTTTTTTTTTTCACACAAATGCTAGGGATATATTGATGAACAAAACAAACATGGTTCCTACCTTCATGGAGTTGTAATATAGAGATTTATTAAAACTATTCCCTAATCTTAGACATCTAGAGTGTTTCCAAATTTTAAAATTTTATGTAAAACTATAGTAAACATCTTTGTGCTGAAATAATAAGTTACTTAGTTTGCATTTCTAGAAGTAGAATTACTGGGCTTCAGAGTAGGAACATTTTTCAAGGCTCTTTACACATAGTTAGTGTTACTTTTATTGCTTTACTGATTGTGGTCCATTCTTGACTTACAAGTTGAGCGGCTTTGTATTACTTTGCTTCAAAAGTTAATATGTTTAATGGGCTTTTAAGCTCATTTTGGCTAATGAAAGGATTCTGAGACTGCATAGCACTGCTCAAGTGAAAACTAACTTGGTGTCTTGGATCACATTTTCCTTTTATTTCCTAAAAATGAAATAGGGTATTACATAAGAAATATACACTTTCAAAAATAAATTTAAAATTAATGACAAAAAAGGGGTGAAAATGAGAATAACTAATGAATTACTTCTCATCTTGGGGCCAAGAAGACTCTCATTTTTTGTTATCTGAACACATAAGATACAATTTTTTTTTCCAGTACATATCCTTACCTAGGGAATTGAGTTTCCATTTTATATAACAAAAAGCTCATATTTGCAAATTTCTTGCCAAGTAGAATTTGATAACTGGTTTTAACATAACTCTATACATAACAGTAATTGTTTTTAGGTTTAGGAGAAATAAAACATTTTAAAGACATTTTGGTACAATTTTAATAGGCATTGTACCTTTGTGTAATTTACACATCTAAGAAGAAATTAGATTCATTATTTTGAAAAAATATTACTGTGAGCATATATATGGTTTTTAGGGGGAGAAGTCTGAATGTGAAGGAAATGTACAGGATTAAAGTTGCTCTTTATAGAGGAATGTTTATATTCTTTTATTTTCCTTTCAGTCCCTATAGCCTTTTCATGCACACATATACATACATGCTCAAAACTAGCATTAAAATAGTCTGATATCAAATAATTAGATATTTATTAAACAACCAAATAGGTTCAATCAATGAAAAAAATGCCTGATTCTCTCAGTTCAAGCTGTAAAATATTGTGTGTAAACACAGCTACAATTTTAGAATGGATTTCAGAAGCATCTATACATTGTAAAATATAATTAGTCTGTCTTTTCCCTTCAACTTCCTGTTATTCGCAGTGTCTTTATGATGTCGTCACTCAACATTACCACTGAATTTACAATGCTAAAGTCCTGGCAACATATAGGCAGGGGAAATGTCTCTTCCAAGACTGTAAGTATTTCATTTAATACTTTTTTAGTATTTTTAATGACTAACATGCTCAACTTAGCAACATATTTATATTTTTAAATGTTTTAAATTTAAACATTTAAATAATGTTTCTCTCATGGTAATTTTATTTGTAGATTAAAATTTTAAACAGAGGTATGAAATTTTCAACAATATCTTGGGTGTTTTGCTTTGAGATTTAGCTACTTCAGGGTTTTTCATGAAATAGTTGCATAGTCTTAACCAGTGTGTGTGTGTGTGTGTGTGTGTGCGTGTGTGTGTGTGCTTATAATCACATCTTATTTTAAGGAGAAGGGAAGTAATTAATAGGTATGAAGGCACTTAAAATGTAAAGCAGGATACAATGTAGTAAGACTTTATTATACAACTTTGATATGCTTAATTTTATGTAAAAGGAAAATTAGATTCCTTTGCTCTGATAAAAAGGAAGACTTAGTGTTGTTTCCAATAAAAGAATGTATAATGAGTTGAGTTTTAAAAGGAGTCATTAAGCGGATGATGAATATTATTAACATGGAATTAAACAATAGTATTTCTTCAGGCTTTAGTGGCCACATCTTTCAGTGTTGGTCTTTAAAAGTTGATCTCCTCTAAAGGAATATTGCTGAAATAATACAAAAATTAGGATATTATAGAACATATTGATTTGGAGCCACCAGCTAATAGCCATGTGTATTAGCTGAACCATAAGAGATTATCAGTATTCAACCAATTTTTACCTACAAAAATGGAAATTTCTTATGGTACAATCTAATATAAAAAGCAGATAAAAATCAATAAGAAAGATATACTTAAGGTGACATAAAAACAGTTGAAAGTTATAAACAGGTATTTTATAGTAAAAGAAATGTGAATGGTCAGTAAACATATGAAAAGGTGTACAACCTCATTTATGAGAAGAAAATTTAGAAAATCTTTGACTCAGAAATTCAATTTCTAAAAAAAAAAACTAAAGGGATATTTCCTTTTTAATGATACATTTCTGTGATGTTTGGATGTTTTTCAATGAGTATGCATTACTTTTAAAATCAGAAATTTCAATACACTGTGAAAGAAAGAAAAAGAATGATTTGATCTAGAAATTAAATTGAGCTCCTAGTGCTTTTAGAAAGATATTTCTAGTTTGGTGCTGCCTACATCTCATCTTTCCTCTTACATCATAAAGGCTTCAGGATTACATCACCATTGGGTATTATCTCTGAAACACACTGTCATCAGCAAAGTCTTCTATATCCTCCTCTGCCTCTTATCTGAATATCTCCACTTTCTTGCTCTCTGAAACTTGGCTTTTTCTCAAATACACTCCTTTTCCTGAGGCCCTTTTGAGTAGGAGATATTTTCCTTTCCACGTCCCTTCCTACCACTGGATCCAGAGGTGCAGTAGATGTATGCTTGGTTCCTCAATGGCATTTCCAACTCATTCTACATCCTTACTCCCTACAAATAGCCAGCTTTGAATCTCATGTCATCAGAGTATATCATCTGCTACCTTTCCTTGTTATATTCATCTAGTAACTCCCAGGTCATTCCCTTTATTTTGCTATGATTTTCTGTCTGGCCCACTGCCATTCCCTCTTGCCTTAATCCCTGGTAATTTTAAGATGTAGATAATCATTCACATATCCTAACATCTCAATTATTTGACTTTATTTTCTCAAATATCTTGCCTTCCATCTTATTTCAGTGGTTCACTCCTATTCATATCCCTCCAAAATCTTAATTTCAAACATTTCATTTTCCAACCACTGCTTCAGGTACATCTAATACCCACATTCCAACAATTCTTCTATCCCAATAAGACCTACTATTGATCTTAGCACCTTTGAACTATTGCTCATTAGTCCTTTCCCCATGGCTTTACTTATATTCTTACCTTTATAGATCCTTACCTATTTTAGGTTCTTACAGGTTCATGGTGAACCAATACAAATAATTTCCGGCATACATCTTCAATCCCCTTTACCCACTCTCCTTTTGACATTTCTTTGACAAAACCCTAATTTTAGATAAATCCATCTTCCCCATTATTCCTCAGTAGTACCTTTGCAAGCTGAATATGGTTGAGGAAAACCATGTAACCATGACAATTGGCTTCAATTTAATTTATAATGTCAAACTGCAAGTGGGCCATTAATGATATCCAGCAATGGTATTAAAGTTTTCTCATCTGTTTAAATCTCTCCTTTAAGATGACTATGCCTTACATTTTTTTCTCTTAAATTTACAATAGATTTTTTCCACCCCACTCTTGGTTAATAGAGACAAATAGGGGAAATTTTCACCATTGCCACAACTAAATATCCTAGTCTATATGTATCTTTACTACCCTTTTTTCTTCCTTCCTCCTATTGGAGTAGATACCCTCTTCTTGATCATATCTAAATATAACTCAAGGTGTATTAGTTTCCTAGGGCTGCTGAAACAAATTACCACAAACTAGCTAGCTTAAAACATTAGAGGTTTATTGTCTCACATTTCTGGAAGCTAAAAGACCAAACTCAAGATGTCAGAAGTATGGGCTCCTTGAGGCTCTGAGGAAGAATCTGTCCCATGACTCTCCTAGCTTCTGGCAGTTTCTGGCCATCACTGGCATTCCTTGGATGGTAGATACATCATCCCAATCTCTGCCTCCATCATCACATGGCACACTCTCCCTGTCTGTGTCTGTGTCCAAATTTCCTTCTTCTCATAAGAACACCAGTTATTGTATGAGAGCCCATCCTAATCCAGTATGACCTCTTCTAAACTATATTACATCTGCAAATACCCTGTTTCCAAATAAGGTCAATTTCACAGGTACCAAATGATAGGACTTGAATATATTTTATGGGCAACACAATTCAACTCACAACACTGGGCACTGGATTTTTTTCCCTACTTAAGGATATGGCTCCTATAATTAACTTATCTTCTGCATCCTCGTTTTTTAATCTTTTTTCTTTGGGTTTATTGAAACATAACTGACATATAATTGTGTATGTTTGAGGTGTACAGTGTGATGATTTGATGCTCATATGCATTGCAAAATTATGACCATGGTAGGTTTAGTTAATACCTCCATACATCATATAATTACCAGTTCTTATTTTGTGGTGAGAATATTTGAGGTCTACTCTCATGAAATTTCAAGTATATAATACAACATTGTTAACTATAGTCACTGCACTGTACATTAGATCCCCACTATATATTCATCTTATAACTGGAAGTTTGTACCATTTGAACAACATCTCTGCATTTCCCCTTGCCCGGCTTCAGGCAATCACCACTGTGCAGTTTCTATAAGTTCAGCCTCTTTACAATCTATATATGAGATCATACAGTATTGTCTTTCTAATTTATTTTACTTAAAATAATACACTCAGGGTCCATCTCTATTGTCATAAATGGCAGGACTTCCTTCTTTCTCATGGGAGAACTATATATCTATATCATCTATATCTATATCTATATCTAATCTATCACCTATCTATCTATTTATCTATCATCTATCATCTTTCATAGAGTGATTTGATTTCCTTTGGATATATACCCAGAAGTGGGGTTGCTGTATCATATGGTAGTTCTATTTTTAATATTATTTTTAAAGATTTTTTATTTATTTTATTTTTTTGAATGAGAGAGACAGAAAGAGAGAGAGAGCACAGGCAGGGAGAAGAGGGAGAAGCAAGCTCCCCACTGAGCAGGGAGCCTGATGTGAGACTCAATCCCAGGACCTTGGGATCATGACCTGAGCCAAAGGCGCTAAATCGACTGAGCCACCCAGGTGCCCCATCTATTTTTAACTATTGAAGAACCTCATCCTGTTGTCCATACTGAGTGTACCAATTTACATTTGTGTCTAGAGTGCACAAAGGTTCCCTTTTCTTCACAGCCTCACCTCACCTTATTTTTTTTCTATTGAGTTTTATGAGTTCCTCATATATTTTATAACCTCTTATCAGATAGCCGGTTTCCAAATATTTTGTCCCATTCCATATGCTGCCTTTTCATTCCAATTATTTTTTTTTCCTTTTGATGTGCAGAAGCTTTCAGTGTGATGTAGTTTCATTTTATTTTGTTTTTTGCTTATACATTTGGTGCATCCTTCTATATACCTGTTGACCGTTTGTATGCCTTCTTTGAAAAATGTCTATTCAGGTAATTTGTCCATTTTTTGATCAATTTACTATTTTAATATTGAGTTGTGTAAGTTACCTAAATATTATTGATATTAAACCCTCATCAGATAATTGGCTTGCAAATATTTTCTCCCTTTCAACATGCTGTTTTCAATATTATCAATTGTTCATTTGCCATGCAGAAGATAAGTTTTATATAGTCCTACAGATTTATATTTCCTTTTGTTGCCTGAACTTTTGGTGGCATATCCAAAAAAATCAATGTCAAGGGCATATCAAAGATCGTTTTTCCTATGTTTTCTTCTATGAGTTGAAAAGTTTCAGATCTTATGTTTAAGTTTTTATCCCATTTCAAGTTATTTTTTTAAAAGATTTTATTCATTTATTTGACAGAGAGAGAAACAGTGAGAGGGAACACAAGCAGGGGGAGTGGGAGACGGAGAAGCAGGCTTCCCACTGAGCAGGGAGCCTGATGTGGGACTTGATCCCTGGACCCTGGGACCACGACCTGGGCCAAAAGCAGATGCCTAATGACTGAGCCACCCAGGCGCCCCCCATTTCAAGTTAATTTTTGTGATTTGTGTGAGATAAGGTTCCTCTTTTATTCCTTTGCATGTGGATATCTACTTTTCCCAGAACCATTTATTGAAGAGATGATCCGTTGGTGCCCTCATAAATAATTAATTGATTACATATGCATGGGTTTATTTCTCTGTTCTTCATTACATTCCATTGGTCTATGTTTCTATTTTTATTCCAATACCATACTGTTTTAATTACCATACCTTTGTACTCTAGTTTGCAATCAGGTAGTGATATCTCCAGCATTATCCCTCTTTCTCAGGACTGTTTTGGCTATTC